ATCGTGATTTATTAGCATAGGTGTATGGGATTGCAATCCCCGTGCCCTCCTGGGGTGGTGTTCAGGGGTCCCGTGATGTCATGAAGGGGTACGGGGGTACATAAGGGGGCACCGTGGATCATTTTCTCCGAAAATATTGCATTTTCACCAAATTCAAAAAAATCCTCGGATATTGACGAAACTCGATGAGGCCGTCACGACCAACGTTGTGTCACGTTCAAATTCTTTTTTTTTTCACCCAAAACTGAATTGGACAAATTGTTGTGCACAGACCATACAACCATCCAGGGTCACACAGGAGGGGGTAAACACCAGGGCTTTTTTTCTTCTTCTGCTTGTTTCTTTTCATACCCCACCTTCCTCCTGCGGTGCGTGCTGAATTTTATTTTATCGCGAGAAGGGTCCAGTCGTCCCTTTCCCTCGTCAACGGTGCTAACGTCGAAGTTTGGTATTCACGAGACCTTTTGTAGCTATATTTCGCTTTCACCCGAATATTTCTTAAAAATTTCATCCTCTGGGGATTCGAACTCGCGACCTCTGCGACTAGCGGATTACGAGGATACCACTAGACCACCGGGGCGATCCGGAAGTGCTACCGCCGGAACCGTGCTTCGATGTACGACAGGCGACGGGCCGACCGCCAACTCAAGATCCGGCTACTCCAGGCTGAAGTGGCGGAGACTCTCCTACATGTATATGGGTGCGCCTCGTAGAGCCTAACAGCGGAGCACTACACGAAGCTCAATGGAACCCACCGCCAGTTCCTTACACGGTGCATCGGCTGGAGCAAGCGGAAACGCTCAGACCGCCCCCTGTCCTATGCCCAGGCCGTCATCCAGGCAGGCTGCGAGGAAACCAGCGAGTCCACCGTGCGCAAACGGAGACTGTGTTTCGCGGGCTTCGTTATGCGCATGGAGGACAGCCGCCTCCCCAAGCGCATGCTGTTAGGAGCGATGGCGGGGGGCGTGGGATACCGGGGCGGGCAGGAGAGCGACTGGGTGTCTCGCCTAGGAGAGGACCTCGTGGCCTTCAACATGGGAGACGAAAAGGAAGGGGGGAAATGGAAAGAGAGCGCCAAGGACCCGGAGGTGTGCTACAACAAGGTCGAGGGCGGGGCGGCATGGCTCATGAGGAAATGGC